CGATACCATTACGTATAGACTCGATGTCGTTCAATTCAATTACAAATCCAAGCGTTACATTCCCGCGAAACATTCTTCTTGCTACAAACAAGTAGTGCATACTTCTAAAAAAAAAGCACAATCTCTAAATACCAATTCTGTATGAAAGTGTGAATTACAGTTCCTCCAGAGATATCGAAGAGCAAAAATTAACAATTATCGTAACAGTGTAATTATAAATAATTGCAATAGCACAGCGATAAAGGAATAAAATGAAAGGTATAAAATACAGAGAAATAGTAACTTTCACACCCCACACACCGTTACGAAGGGTTAAAGTCGAAATTAAGTGGAGCTAGCGAAGAGAGGTAAGAGAAGAAGAAGAAGACCGATCCTCGTGAAGATATCGAATGATATCTGGGGGTGATAGCTAACAGTTGAACGGTGACACACATACGTCTCCGGATGCTTGTGATTTAAACGGATCAATGAGATGCGCTCCGGCGAAAACGCTAGAGGCTAGGCTTTCCTCATTTCTGCACCATAGAACGTCGGCATTGCAATGAAGACGACGCGGGGATACATTTTGGATTGGCACGCTGCCAACAGGTCCTTCGGGAAATGTATATATATATATATATATATGTAATCCGTTATACCTATATCCATACGTAATATCGTCGTCACCGATAGAACGACGACGAATTCTGAAACGGCTAGGGCCATTTTCGCCACGGTTTCTCCTTGGTGACCGATCTTTCGAATCTTCGGTATATTGCACCAGGTGAGTGCATTTCGGATGATTTATACAGCAAAGGAAGCGAAAAGATGAAGGAAGTGGCAGATGGTGCATCCTACCGCGCATTAAGCCGCATAGGGAGCGCGGGGAAAACGGTGATTAGCGATGAAAGTGGAAAGTAACGAGGCGAGGAAAGTCGAGGTTGCTTTCGTGCCACGATAACGAAGGAACGCTAGGTGCTGTTGAAAACGTTGTTGGCGAGGTGGAGTGTTAACACCCCAGGATGAACGATCACACTTTTGCACAGAGACGTGTGAGAGCTTAGTTTTTGAGAAGAAGAAGAAAGAAAGAAAATACACACGTATGATCGATGAAGTGAAGAAGAAAGGAAGTGGGTCATGAGGAGTATGTACGAATGTCGCTTCTTTCCCCCCTCCTGTCTTCGACTTGTCGAATTTACTGGCAACTTTTGTGGGTCGTTATCAAGAAGAAGATTCGGCGAACAATGTATGATACCTGATGGATGATTGCTGTAGACGGTAAAATAGACGAGATGGAAGTTTAGAATTGTACAGGAGGAAGTGTACGTCTGATTGAATTATCGAATGGTAGATATTAATAAGAGAATCGATATCGTTGTAATTTTTCCGATTAATTGCCGATCGTTAGTCACGCTTTCTATTTTCACGAGGGCACGCTGTTCGCTCGATACCAGCCAAGCTACAAGATGGATTACACCGTACACTCCTCAAAGAGCGGTACGTTACCTTAAACTAATCAGGAAAGTACACACGCTTTATCGTATGCGCTCCGTGCACTTAGCGCACCGAGAGAGAGAGAGCAGGTCGTGTATACTGTGCAACGGTTGGAGTATGCATATGCACGTAAGGAAGGAATATGCACTTTACCTATGCATGTACCCAACCCTCCAACCGCCTACGTACACATGCACACGTAAGCTTTTATCGATGAACAAAAAGCAAGAGAGGTAAATGATATATTTTGCCATTCTATCTGTAGCCATCCTTCACTCTCCACAGGGACCAAGAATATTCCTCTACATTAAATCGAATGTATTATTCAATCCTTCCCTGGCAAATTCTACGACCCTCTATACTCGAGAGACGTTCTACAACATCTTAATAACCAAATATTTACGGAACCATTGAGAAAACGATAATTATACTTGGTACATTACGAAACTCCTCGTACGAAGTAAAAAAGAAACTTGAAGAGAGAGAGAGAGAGAGCAAAGGGTCGAGAAGAAACTTCGATTCGACAATTTCACCGCGCAACTCCGAAAACGATGACGCACGAATGCATACTTGGCATCGTGTGGCATCGTCGAAACAGCCTCGTAAAGTCGCGATAAGGAAGATATAAATAAAAGGTTGACAAGAAGACAGGTCGTGGAAGAAGTTATGCGGGCGAGAAACGGGTTACTTTTTTTTTTTTATCTGCTGCGCAGAACGATTAAAAAGAAAAGAAGAAAAAACAGTGAAGAATGGAACGAACCATTGAGAGAAGCGAAAGAATCCACGACGAATGTCGGTCGAACGTGAGAGAGAGAGAGAGAGAGAGAGTGATCGATCGATCTCTCTGTCGGCGGTAACAATCCGAATTCGACGAAAGATCTATATATCAGGGGCAATGGGGAATGGCGCTTGGAGAAACGGGTTTACGGACTGGCGGCGAAAGGGAAGGCATGCTTTGCAGCAAAACGATCGTTATCTAATAATGAGAAAAGAAGTTAAAACCGGTAGGCGAGCCACCGTTCCTTTTTCCACCGATTTCGTGCCGGCGCGGCGCGGCGCATAAAACGCTTCCACGGAGGCCGCCACATTTCCAAGTAGCACAATCGCAAACATTGATTCGAACCAGAAACTAGATACGTACGATTATTCCCCGGCCCGGGAGTATTATAGCTCGCGTGTAGATAACAATACGACAATGGGCGCAGTTTGCGTTTGTACGCGGAAGGATCGAACGGAAAAATGTATATACTTTTTATACATATGTTACGTCGCGAGCAGCAAGCAAAGTGATCGAGAATCTTCGATTTCGTTTGCTTCCTCTTTTTTCTTTTTCTTTTTTTTTCGTGGGATTCTTAACTTAACGACGATTTTTTCTTTCATTTTTGAAAATTCGTCGTGTGGTTTGTGTTTCGTCTTGAGAGATTCGCGAAAGGAACGTGATTGAAATTCCGAAGACTGGCCGCGGTTTGCGCGATCAAAAGGAGAAAAGCGGAGAAAAAAGAGGGGGGGAAGGGAACGAATAGATCGCGCTTTTCGGAACGCACGATCTCGTTCTTGTTAACCTACTTACTTTTATTCACAGCATTCATTCATCCGCTTCGTGCAACGCGTTATACGTCTACATGTGTGTGTATAATATATATATACACGTAACGTACATATGCAGGGCAGGTGAGGACGGGCGGTACAAACGGTGGCAGGAGGTGATTCTACGTGTAAAAGCAAGTCGAAAATGCGGAATAGAATTATTTTTTTCTACGACGCTTCGTTTTCGTGAAAGATCCACGTTGAAGATCGTGCTATTGTAATTATATCGTTTAATTATAGATTAGTTCTATCTACATTATCCATTTGAATGGTTAACAGCGACGGTGAGAACTACTTTTCAATTAATTCGCCAATATATCGAAGAGTAAAATTCACGTTTGATCGATTCGTAGAACTGCAACGAACACGGTAACACAGTAAGAGAGACACTTACAAGAGCCTGTTCGATTATTCAAGTTCAGCATCGCTATCGATACCCTATTAAACACAATCTACAATAAAACGATAGAGAGTAGCAACTGTGTCGAAACGAATGTTCATCGTTATCACTCGTCTCTGCATACACGAACTAATCATATATACACATAAGGATCGCCAGAGGCGCATTCGCGTATTCCGTAAGGTGAGATCAGAAACGGTTTTTATTACATTTCGCACGCAAATGGCGTTTTGGAAAGGTAACGCGGCGCGGCGTTAGGAGCCGCGCGAGATTCCGTCGCGGTGCCTGATCTTCGTTATCCCCGCCCAGCCTCTCTATCTCTCGCGACTGACTATCTATCTAATCTCGTCGTCTCTCCACGAGTTGGCGATTCGAGTTCACGCGAGACGAAGTTGGCGAAGAAAACACACGTCTTCTTCTACCAAGCACCACGGGATCCCCCGAACGAACGATCGAACGACCGTGAGGCCGCGGCCGTGTAATCGTTTCCAGGAAAATCGATCCTCGCCAATTAACATGGGCGAGGTTGAGGCCGTGTCATAAAGCAGCGTAGAAGAGGATATATCCTGGTCATGCACGGACACTTCCGGTAGGGCAAAAGGGAGCGTACCGCGCGTTCTTCACCGCCCCAAAGAAACGAACGAATAAGAGGGGAATTCCCTCGGTTACGTTCTAACCGAGACGACGTTTCGACCATGTCAGACAATTCTCTTATCGAAGGAACAATGGTGGACGGTGGTTTTTTGGGGGGGGGGGGTTGATATATATTGTATATAAAATGGAGGAAATGTAGAAAGAATGGGAATAATAATATCGACAACGTTCGTCGATAGGGTAGCTCGCGACCCAGGAACGCGGGCCGTGTTCGTTCCTAGGCCGATCTTGCCGAGCGCCGCGGGTGCCGTCGTCTTGTATTATCGATTGACGGAGGTTATGTGGAGTCGAGTCGCCGGGGCACGACGATCGCGTAGAATAGAGAACGAAAAATCCTATTCTAATGGTGTACGGGAGAGACACAGAGAAGGGGGACGAATAAAATGTTTTTACACCGTTCGCGCTTCTTCCTTCCCGTCTTTTATCCTTGATCACCATCCTCCCTCTCTCCCACCCTTTCTACGTGACGTTCTCACTCACTCTCTCTCTCTCTCTCTCTCTCTCTCTCTCTCTCCTGTTCGTCCTCCTCCTCCTCCTCCTCCTCCTCCTTGCACATACAACACAGCATTCGTATTCTCTCCTTCTCTCTCTCACCCTCTCCCTTGATTTCAGCTTGCATATCTTTCCCCATTGCTCTCGTTCCCTTTTATCTCTATCTCGTTCTAAAGCTCGCGTGGTTAAAAGAGACAACACGTAACGAGAGATGAAAGGAGAGAGAGAGAGAAAGAGGGGAGAGATGGAACGAGAGATGAATAGCACAGAGGGCATAGTCGAGGAAGGAAAATTGGGGGCTGGGTCAAGTTATAGGTGAATCGAGGAGAAGAAGAAAAAAATAAATAAAACAGTCACAATATCGCACACTCACCGTTTTGTATAATACGTGGGAGTGGGAGGGGGGTTGTTAGACCGTCCGACAAGTCGCAGTGGAAGCCTAGTTGGCAGCAAGGGCGATCATGCTCGCGGCGTCAAAAACGGTAGTATTGGCAGTGGCGGGACTGGCGGTGGCATTC